CCGCCCCGCGGGCCCCCCCCGGCTCCCCCCGCCGGCCCTTGGCCCTGCCCCGGCCCTGCCGGCCCCGCGGCGCCCCGCGGCTGCCGCTGCCTCTGCCCCGCGGCTTCGGGCCGCCCGCCTTCCCCGAGAGCGGCAGCAGCGACTCCGAGTCCAGCTGCTGCTCGGGCCGCGCCGCCCACGACTCGGACTGCGGCTCCAGCCTCTCCAGCTCCAGCGAGGGCAGCTCGGAGGAGGAGGACGAGGAGGAGGAGGACGAGGAGGGCAGCGGCGCCTCGGACTCCAGCGAGGGCAGCTCGGAGGAGGAGGAGGAGGAGGAGGAGGAGGAAGAGGAGGAGGAAGAGGAGGAGGAGGAGGACAGCACCTCGGACTCCGACTCCAGCTCGGTCTCCAGCCAGGTTTCGGTGCAGAGCATCCGCTTCAGGCGCACCAGCTTTTGCAGCCCGCCCGGCGTGGTCCACGCCAACTTCTTGTACCATCTGGCGGCCGCCGCCGCCTCCCGGCCCCCGGCCCCGACGGAGCCCGGCGGGCTGCCCGCCCTCCGCGGCGCTCCCGGCGGAGTCAAGCCGGAGCTGCCGGAGGAGTGGGGCTGCCCCGGCTGGGCTCCCGCCGCCCCGGCGCTGCGCTGCTCCGGCGGCCTGGGGAGCTGCTTCGCGGAGATAAGAGATGATAGGGTATCCGAACTCACATTCCCACACTCTGAATTTTCCAATAATGCCAAGAGTACTGACCTAACAATTAACTGTGTTGCAAAGGGGGCCTCTTCACCTAGCCCAAAGACAAACAATGCATTTCCACAACAAAGAATACTCAGAGAGGCAAGGAAATGCCTTCAAGCAACTACTACACACCGTGCAGATAACAATACAATAGCTGCTAGGTTCTTAAATAATGATTCTTCATCAGCGGCAGCAAATTCAGAGAAAGATTCCAAAATCCCTCATTGTATTGAATTTGCCACGGATTTGCCCTCTTTACAAACTGATCCTGCGGAGGATGCTGCTTCTCCAGGGGCAGCAGCAGCAGCTGAGCTCCAGTGCACTGATACAGGCAATAAGGCATTGCCATTCCTGCACAGCATTAAAATCAAAATAGAGGACAGCAGTGCGAACGACGAGTATGAGCCTGATCTTACAACACATAAGCTAAAGTGTGAGTGCAATGATACTAAGGATGAGTTTTACGGTGTGACTGAGAGTAATAACCAGGACGCTTTATTAACAGCCAAGGAAGATTCTGCATGCACTGAGAAAGAAACCACTTCCTTAAACCCACTGACTCAGAGTCAGGTCCTCTCATGCACTTTAGGTACTCCAAAACCTGAGGATGGGGAGTATAAATTTGGAGCAAGGGTGAGAAAAAATTACAGGACCCTGGTTTTGGGAAAGCGACCTGTACTGCAGACTCCTCCAGTCAAACCAAATTTGAAATCAGCTCGAAGCCCACGTCCTACAGGTAAAATCGAGACACATGAAGGAACACTGGATGATTTTACAGTTAACAATAGACGCAAAAGGGTAGCCAGCAATGTAGCATCAGCAGTGAAAAGGCCATTTAATTTCATGGCAAATTTTCCCTGTCCACCATCACTAATTATTGGCAATGATGGGGATTTGTTGCCAGCTTATTCCTTAAACACCACTAAGGATTCCCAACCACCTCACAAGGCCCATCCTGTATGGAAATGGCAGCTGGGCGGTTCTGCAATACCTCTTCCACCTAGCCACAAATTCAGGAAATTTAATTAATAAAGTAGTTTGGAAAATATTTTCTTGAACCACCTTTAACTTTCTTACCTTTTTTTTTTTTTTTTAAACTCTGCAGTTTGGTTTGTACAAACCCATTAATGCTATACACTTTTGGAATCCTGTTTTATCACATCGTGAAGACAGATACCGGATTACTATTTTATTTACCGTTTCAACAGTGGGGGTTTTTTTCCTTATTTTGGGGTCTTGGTGGGATTTTTTTTGGTTGTTGTTGGTTTGGGCTTTTTTGTTTGTTTGTTCTGTTGCATTGTTCTTGTTTTTGTTTTTGTTTTTTTATCGTGTTACATTCCACAGAGTACTTCAGGCTAAAGACTCAAGTTAAACTCAGTTATTATGGTAGAGCTGGAACACTTTACTGTTTAAATGCTAATAATGCACCAGTACCTCAATTCAACTGCTGCAAATAAATGTCAAAAGGTTGAATAATAAATATTAGAATGAGCCATTAAATTTATGCACTAGATTTTGAAAATGGAAGTCTAACTGTTAATTCAGTTAAACTTTGTTAAGTTACATGGTTGCACAGTAAGGGTTCACTATAATTCAATGTGGCAGCAGTCTACTTTTCGGGAGCTTTGTTTTTGGGTGCAGGGGTGTCTTTTTTGAAGAGCAGTTGCACTTACTCCTTTTTCTCCGGTTTGGAAAAGACTGGGGTCCGCCTGTGACCCCAGCTCTGGGAAAAGCTGCCTCATTTGAAACCAGTAAATAAATGTGGAATTCTATTTTTGGTAAAAGGGTGTCTTCTTACTTGTACAGTCACTCTTTGCAATTGGGAAGCCTTTTTGTTTCACCCAGAGGTCTTAAATAAGGTTACTGTTATCCACTAATGTCATACTTAAGTTGTGGTCTGAACATGCCCCTTAGAAACTTGCAAAGCAACTAAAATATTTGCCCGGCCAGCAGTACAATTTATGGTCCAGCCCCTCATGCTGGCTGGAGGAAATAGCAAAGCAGTAAATACAACACAGAAAGTGAAATGAGAGGCTGTAAGTGGAAAGATTACACAAAATGAGAAGACCATGTTATTCATAGCTTTTTGGCAACAAAACTCAGGCTATTCAACCATGTTACACTTCCCGGTTCTATCCTCATCTCTTGAAATTTGCTGTCGTGGGTTTTTTTGCAATGCCATCCTCTCTATGTAGCAGAAATATTTCTACTGCACGTGACAATCAGAGGCAATTACCTATATTTGCACTTAATATCGAAATAGTCAAACAGGCAGGCTTCTAGAGTCTAGCCCTCGGTAAGACATGCTGGTATAATATATTGTGATGATGGAAGCAGTAAATCAAAATTATGGAAATTTGCACTGTTGAAAAGCATGCTTTAGCTTTATTTTCAATTAAAAACACTGTTTTAAAAAATTCCTGATTCCTAAACACTTTGAATTATTGCAGAGTTATCCGTGGTTTCCTCTCCGTTTGTAAGTTCACTGTTTTTATTTGGAGGAAATACGCTTCAAGAGGTTAACTGTTTCACTCCCTCCCCCTCAACCTCTGCAAAAGAAAGGGAAGGAGGAAAAAAAAAAAAAAAAAAAGGCTGGAGGCCGAGGTGAAGGCAGAACTGAGGACAGGGGAAGGTATCTCTTGTGGGGGGAGGACAGATACAGCAACTCTGAAAACAGCCTGAAAAGTTTGCAGCTTGAGAAAGGCAATAAGAATTGAGTTACTGAATCAGTAGAGTTTAGGATGAATAATTGCTGGTTTCTTTCTTTGGATTAGCATTTTATTTATACTAGATCATTCACAAATTAAATTTTAAGGATTCCACTCATCGATCAATCCCGGGAGAATAATTTATCGCAAATCAAAAAAGGAAAACAAAGCAACAATGTAATGTTTACTGTGTGACTCAAAGTCAACATTTCTGCTGGCAATCCACTGTCTGGGTTTCAGTTTTTTAATTCCTGCCTTTTGTGATGCCCTGTCCCAACCCCTCATGTCTCCAAATATTCCAAGCAGTCACTAACTGATTTCAGCTCTGTTTACTATATCCACACCGGAGTTTTCCTCTCATTGTAAAAGGCCCAGTCTAAGAATACCTTCAGCCAAATATATTTAGAAAGAGTAAACAATTGCCTTTCAGTGTAGTTACCCTTCCCCCCTGCATGCACAGGCACACACACATGCACACACATCACTTTAAGCTGCCAATTGCAAAGGTGCATTGCATACTTAACCGCTCTGCTGAAATTACGATGGTCATGAAAAATCTGCTTACTGAAGTTGTTCTGAGATGAATGTTTACATTCGTGTGTTTAGAGCTGCACAGATTACAGCCTTATTTCCAGAGAACTGCAAGTACATACAAAATGTACTGCTCAGGAAAGCCCCCCACTCTGTTAGAAACCGTGTCTGCCTGACAAAGGTCTTCCCTTGACAAAAAAAAAACAAAAAAACAAAAAAACAAAAAAACCAAAACAAAACCAAAAAAAAAGAAAAAAGAAAAAAAAGAAAAAAAAGAAAAAAAGAGCCAAGAGCTGCAAAAGTGCAATATGCAAACTTGAAACCTAAAATTTCGCCTTGTCAGTTAAACAACATATCACTTTCAAAGTAACTCTGTCCCCTGACCCTGTTTACTTCCAATTAGAGATATGCTGATTTGGCCAGGAATTGTAAATTACAGAGGTGCCTTTTCAGGTTCCGAAATAATCTGGGGTGGGGGGGTTGGGGATTGGAGGGGGAGGTATAAGCATAAATTTATACCAAATAGGCTCTGCAGAGTTGAGGATGTGAAATATGGCGTCCAGCCTTGCCAGCGGCCCAGGAGCTCCAGGCACCCCCAGGCATCCCCAGCAGGCTGCTCCGCTGGGCTCCCCTCCATCCAGGCAGCAGCAAACGGCAAGGAGTTAAACAGCCAAATAATTTTCACACGTGCACACCTCAGTTTAGTACAAGTCACTAGCAGGGACATTCGTGGTTTTACTACCGTTGGAGAAATTAGCCAGGTACAATAACTCACCAGGGAAAAAAAAAAAGGGGGGGGGGAATGGTATTCTGTTCAATTCTGGTAGTTTGGTAACTGTTTTTGACGACATTGTAATTATTATTGCGATCAGAGTTCATTATCATTTCAGCCTTAAACATGTGAAGCCTTAGCATTGAATTACATAAAAATAACCAAATTTCTCCCATGAAGGTAAGTTCTAATAATGAGGAAAACCTTGGGTTTTTTTTGGGAGACAGGCTACCATTTTGTTGTGACGTTTACATAAGATAAAACTTACAATGTGTTAGTAATTGCCACCATTTTCCAATTCCTGGTGTACACAAAAATCAACAGAATTTTCTAGAGGAAAAAGCAATTGAGGAAGTGCATGTACTGTAAGGACTATACTCTGTAGGTATTTGTCACAAATAGAGTTCACTGGTAAATTTATTGGGAATATTTCTGCTGCCAGATGGAAGACAAAAGAAAGTTTTGGACTCTGCTTAATTCTCTAAAACATTAAAAAGGGAACACGTGTAATGCCTTCAGCAATGAGGTATATTGCCTTAAAAGATGTAACTTGCCGTTTACAGCAATTTACTTTAAGAAGTGATTGTTCTATAAGCTACACTTACTTGACTACAGTGAGATAATCTCTTTACTGGTTGTTTATTTAAAAAGCCACTACTAGCAATAATGCAAAATAGTGGTAGCTGTTGTATGAAGTTTGCTGTTTAATCAATTCATATGGTGATTTTTTACATGGTCTCTGATCCCTTTTATTCTAACAGATTTAGTTGCCAATAAATTAAAGTTTCTGCAGAAATGAGAGCAATGTTATCATGTTTGTGTTTGTCACTGTTCACACGTGCAAGTGGTTGAGACAGAAAAGGGTAAAAAAAGTGGCATTTTTGACACACGGCGGTAATCTGCAGGAAAATATTCTACATATGCAGTATGTTAGAAAACATGAAACACGGATAACCTTGTTAATTGTGGTTTTTATGGTTAAGAGGATTGCTGGGAAGAATATGTAATGGTTCATCCTGGGATCTATTTGGTCAGCTTGGAATCACAAAAGGAGGGCGAGCGCCTGAAAATGAAAAGCCCTGGCTAGCAAGATCAGGAGGGAGGCTTTGGGATCCACCTTCCCCAAGTCACGTTTACAGACATTATCCATTCCCTTGGTACTTGGCCCTGCAAGCTGCGCTCGAACAGCTCTGGCCTGACCAAAAACCTTTCGGGAAGGGACAGCGAGCCGGGTTTAGGCCTTACACGTTGCATTTTTTCACTGCGCTGATATAATTATTTCCCGTGCCCTAGGCCTCTCTCTCTCCCCCTCTCCCTTTCTCTCCGAGGCGGCCTCACAAGCCCCCGCTTTAAAAGGCCCGAGATGTTTTGCATGAGGCGCTCACAATAGGGGTTGAGGGAATTGACAGTTTCAAAAACAAGGCGCCCTGTCCTTTCCAGATGCCGAGGACCCCTCTCCCGCACCATCTCTCGTTTGCTCCTCGCTGCTGGTGGCTTTACCCCTAGCATTGCAAATACACGGCAACAGCTGTGTTTGTAAACAGGGGGGAGTACGGCGGGAGCGCCGCCGGCCCCCCTCCCGCACCGCGTTCCCGCCGCCTGGAAATCACAAAAAGAAAAAAAAGAAGGAAAAAAAAAAAAAAAAAAAAAAAA